TGGAAATCTAAGCTAGTAGAAACAAGTGCATCGCTACTAGTAACAAGCGCCTTACTACTAGGAAGAAGAAGTTACTAGAAACAAGTGCTACATGAGGCTACTAGCTTCTTGTTACTACTAGTAAGGCACCTGTTACTAGTAGCGGTGCACTTGTTACTACTAGTAAATAGAATCTAATAACGAGTGAGCACGGCAAGACGTCGAGACTCGACAAAGACATACCTCCTCATATTCGCCGATCCTGAGGTGGCGCGTGGTGAACGTTGTTCCAACGTGGGGGCCTCGGCAAAGTATTGGATCCAAAAAAAGTGCCTTCCAGAATCTCGCCACCCCTCACAGAGCTGCCAAGGGATGCAAATGATTGCAATGGTGCAAGATATAAACATCAAGCGCTGATAGCAACAATTGCCTTGGGCGGTTCTTCCTTGGGCCTGACTCGGGACTCGAATGTGCAATCCTGGCAGCACCGAGGTTGGGACTCGTTTGATTCGAGCTGACCGACGGCCAGTCTTCAATCCAAGTCGTAAGGTAAGGTCGTAAACCATCGAATTCCATCGATCAAGGTTGACACTGAAGGTCTTCGACACCCGCTGGCACCAAGCCTTGGTACTTGATGCACCCCCTTCCCTGCTGTTTTGGGCTCCAGACCGAGCAGATCTTCCCCATGCAGCGCTGCATAGAGGAGGCGTTGGCCAAGGTGCGGCAGATGCATTGTGCCGAATGGCGTCCAAAATTCCAAGCCTTAATAAGACCTTAAGGAAAACTGTTTTGGTAATGAATGAAAGGATGTCATGGAATGAATGGAGCCATGCTCGTTTGGAGACGCAGATCACCTATCCTGATTTGAGGCCTCAGCTGCTGCGACCACTGACTTGGCAGCTGAGCAGCTAAGTGCCGCGCTCCATTCCTGCGCTGCAAGCGCAGCAGCTTGTGCAGAGGCTAGGACCAACAGGAATAGAAGGGAGAGTTACGAAAAGGAACCAACAAAATAGCAAAAGGAACCTAACAAGAATGGCCTTCAAAAGCAATGGCCTCCAGCCTACTAGCGATGGCCTCCAGCCTACTAGCGACGGCCTCCAGCCTAATAGCGACGGCCTCCAACCTAATAGCGACGGCCTTCAACCTAACAAGTATAAGTTTAAAAAAAATTGTTTCTGGTGGCCTCCAACCTAGAAGCAATGGCCTCGAACCTGCTAGCGATGGCGCGTTACGAACATGTGCGAACCATTGGTCCATGTGGCAATCTTGAGAATCTCAGAGCCCGCGCCATGTTGGTGGTCCGTCAAGATTGCAAAGAAAGCAACTGATTTCTACAACCACAGCTCAGAAAGGAGCATGGTCGCCTGTTTGTCAATTTTCTGGACCAAAGCTTGCTTGTGCGCCATTTGGCTGGCCGTCTCAATTGAAATCTACACGCATGTATACTTCCTTTGTTGGGATGCTTTCATTGATGCTTTGATGCTCCTTTCACTCGGGCTCAGAGGACTGAGTGCTTCTGTGTGCGCTCTCACCACCAAGAAAAGCAAGCTGTTGGGATTCCTCCGTTCCTGTCATGATTTCACTTCCATTTAAACTCTTTAGATTTTGTAGTAACAGATGCCCCCAGCGGACTTCGATGACTGCTCCGTTTCGAGGCATCACTTCGCTCGAGCGGACTTGTGGATGCCGTGCCGGGTGTTGCAAATGCATGCGGCTTGCTGCAGACAGAGGAGGTCAGAACAGAACATATTGCTTGCGTTGCTTGCATGAGTGATGCAAATCACCCCGGGCACTGCCTAACCTAACCATTCTGATGACTCAAAGGCTTGTACACTGGCAGAAGAAACGTATTGATGTATTGGATGCCAACGATTTTTGCAACAGCACATCGATCGCCGTGAGCAGGACTTTGTCGTGGGCGCCATTTGGTCACAGATTTGGGCCTTTCTTGGATGGTACAATGCTGTGCAGCTTGCCACTGGGCAGTCTGAAACTGGATCACCAAGTTCCTTTGTAGGCTCTGCCAGACAAGATGGACAAGAAACAAGACACGATATTCCAATGGACTGGGTCCTTGCACATCCTAGGTCTTGGACTATGCACCTTTCAAACCCCAAACTTGGTTTTGTTGCATGAGCTAAGAAATAGGTCTTGCTTCACTTGCATGGTTATTGAGCTTTGATTTGTAGCAGACATCATGATCCATCGCTATAATATGCGATGATGATGAAACGTTGTCCTTGCTCTTTCGGCTTGTTTCAGATTGGGCCAAGCATGACCAAGCTCACTACGGAGTTGTATTTGTATGTTCCTTTTTCTCTCTCGGATGAATTATATACATCTGGCGAGGTGATCATCCCGTGGGTTTGCCTTTGGATGTTCTCCAGCTCGGTCCTGGGTCTGGCACGCTTTGCGCGATTTCAGTACCAGCTCTTCCGGATCAGCAACTTAGCAAGAAGCTACGGAGACCAATGCTTGTGGTTCAGGGCTGTCCTCGAAGGCAAACCTACTAGCGATGGCCTCCAACCCAATAGCAAACTATATTAGTAAGGCACCTTGCTACTACTAGTCATGCCAGGAGCTACTAGTAGCTTCTTGTTGCTACTATGTTAGACCTTTCTTCCGTTTCTTCCCTATTTTTTTTCTAATTGCCATGGCCTCCACCCTAATAGCGAAGGCCTCTAACCTACTAGCGATGGCCTCCAACTGCTTGTGGTTCAGGGCAGTCCTCGAAGGCAAACTCAAAGTTGCGGAACATATATCCCACTACCTTCAATTGCATCCATCTAGGGTGTGGACCATTACCAGAAACAGTTGGTAAAGGATTACAGCTAATACTTTTCCTACTCACCATCATCATCATCATCATCATAATCCACTGTTATTGGTAATGGGACATACCATGATACACCCAACAATACCCAACCGTTTTTGAAATGAGATTCGACGCGAGTCGTCTTCTAAGGTATTGACACCTTGCTTTTGATGGTTCTGTCCATTTTGACTCAAGTGGAGGACCTGACTTTTGTTTCACAGTTTGTCATCAAGATCAAGAATGGCCGAAGTGCCCTGTTCCAGCAAGCCGTATTGAGAAGAGCTTTGCTCTTACTCAGATTGACTGCCCCTGTCTCCAAAGTGCAGGGTGCTCTAACTACTTTTGATTGGCACTTCAAAGCTCGTCACAGTCTTACTATGCAGAGCAAGAATTGGACTATACTGAATGCACCCCTTGAACCCAAAGTGTCAGGCTTTCTAAGCCCTGTTGGATCTATCCTATAACATCCTATAACTGCAGGACTGGTTCACTTTGTGCACTCAGTGCCTCCACTCTGGCCTGAGCAGGCGGCATGGCTGAGCTTGAAATTGAGATGTAGATGACAGCCCGATGACCTGATGACAGCCTGAAACCTGCCCCACGTCCTTAGCACCATTCTACCGCACATCGACAAGCATCTCTCGTCAGCATCAAACAATCTCTAGGGAAGGACATAAATTGTATGAAAGTGTCAAACGTGTCAAGCATTTTGTCGAACTTCTGCTTGAACGGAACATATCTATATCTATATCTATATATATATTTTGTTTATGGTATTGTATGTAATTGTTCTATATAGAATGTCCTTGTGTTTGCCTGTTTCATCCGTTTCATCTCTCTTCCTGATTCCGTTCACCATGGGATTCACCAACTCCCAGGTCTGTTCGGAAATACTTTCGCCTGGAACGGGACTTGAAGAGGGCCACCAGCTTTGCAGAATACCGCCGAGCTGAAGAGGCGTTTCGAAAGATGCGACAACGAGGTAAGAAAGAGATCGTAAGTCGTAAGAGATAGTCGTAAGAGATCATCCATTTAAAATCAATGTGATATTGTTCCAAAGATCATTGAAGGGTCCGGTTTTGAAGGAATTCCATTGTGCTATGCCGCTGTGCTGTGGCATGTGCCGCCATGTGCCGCCATGTGCCGCAGTCGGCAGTGTGACCTCGCAGGCTCTCCTGAAGTTCCAGTCAAGGCATTCAATTTGCCGGCCGATCTGCCGCCGCCCGTCTGGTGCTCGCCTTGCCTGTAGCTGCGAGGACGTACTTGTCATGTGAAACGCTCCTCATGAGCGTTGTGAGCGTTTCACATTCCCTTCGTGTTAGCCAGCATACTCAGAGCAGAACTCAGAACACCTGCATCAATGATGATTTGCCACGACTGTTAGCCTGCAGACTGTATCTACCGTGGCGCAAGAGAAGCACACTTTGAAGCCTCCTGACCAAGAGAGCACAGGAGCACCTGCAAGTGCTCCACATGGAATTGGAAAAGTCTTTGGAGGCAAAAGGCACGGAGGACACCCGTGGGGTCCGCCACAACCCGGCCACGCCGGACACCCATGTGATTTTCAGATTTTCTGTTCCAGTGGAAACACGGGGGGAGAAATCACTGAAAATAACAAAATAGATCAAAACAACTTGACAAGACAAGTGACAAGATAAAATTACAACAGTGACAAATCATTTCGATTTTACCATGGCAACTGCGCGACTAAATCTGAGCCTACTGCTGTTCACACTGAACTAACGTGGCGAATCAACTCCCAGGTCTCCGGTCAGGAAACTGCTTTCTTGTTACTAGTAGCAAGGCCAGGAGCCCCTAGTAGCGTCCTTTGCTCCTAGTAGCGATGCCCTTTGTTCCTAGTAGCGTCCTCTTGTTACTCGCTGTATCGATTCTTTAGCACCAGGACTTGGCAAAGCTAGAGCCTCTTTTGGTGGATCCTTGGCAGTGCGAGTCCGCTTGACGTACATGCCGCTATGGAGTGAGGTAGTAACACAGTATCGTTTGGGAGTTGCTGATGCCGGTCGGATATGCAGATGCATGAACTGTTTTCAGACAATAGTCCTCCTGAGAGAAGATCCATATCTTAAAGGTCGTGCAATTGCTGAAGAATGGATGGCCTGGATGGTATGATTGTTTTCGGATGTTTTCAGGAAGGCCGCTTCTTTGACAAGTATCCGAAGTGTTGACCCCGACTTGGCTTCCTTCAGACCCCTGTTACAGTGAAAGGTGGGCTCACATTGTAACTTCGGCAGCTTTACAGCCAAGGATCAAGCTGGCGGGGTGGAGTGGAGCCGCGTCCCAAATGCAGAGCAGCAACGCGACATGTTAAAGGATCCCGTGACTTCTACTTTGATTGAGCCAACATATATGTATGTGTCCGTTTTGGATCATTTGCCCGCATTCAGCTATGGGTAGGCATTACGCATTCAGCTCACCTGCGCTGTAAGGTACTTGGACAAGTTGTGCCATTGCTTGGAAGCCTCATGCCAACGTCGAAAGGGTGAGACTGCGGCACTACGAGAGCCTCACAAGCTTAAGGGGAAGCAGCCCATTTTCCATACTTTCGTGGAACTGAAGTGATTGTTAAATAGAGATAGTGTGCAAGGGCACAGTGACAACTTATTGAGCTTAGAATCAATCATGCAAGACGATGACAGTATATGCTTCATTATGCTTCTAACATGTGTGTCTAACATATCCTTCAATCCGCCAGACAACTCCAAGGATTGGTTGGTGGATCGACGCAAAGCGATTGGCCGTACCGCGCTCTGCTTGAGTGGCGGCGGCAGTTTGGCCATGCACCACATGGGTGTGTGCCGCTTCCTCCTGGAGGCATCAACTTCAATGCGCAAGGGGCAACAGAATCGGAGTTCACTCCAGTGGATGGGGAACCTTGATCTTAGTTGTTGGGGAGTGCAGAAGCTGAGTGCTTTCAGATGCCATCAGCATACGGTCATAGCCTTTGAGTCATGGCAGGAAGGCTTAATGCCCAAGATTGTCAGCGGCGTATCGGGTGGCTCCATCGTCGCCGGCTTTCTGGCTATCCACACAGATGAGGAGAAGCTTGGCTATGCTTATAGCCACGCCTAAGCTTACAGGTTGCATCACTTTAACTACTTTTAACATCTTTTAACTATATGTTCATATATTTTCGGCATTGGCCTGTCTCAGCCAACTTGCAGCTTCCTGACCTTCAGATTGAGGCATGCCCCGGCACCGCCAATCTTTTGGGGAGAGTATAGGCTCTAGACGGAGAACTGCTGGAACATGGGCATAACATGGACGGATCAGTTCCTTGCCAAACCAGTAGACAACAGCAAACACAAATTCGGCGATTGAGGATTCTCAAGCACGTCTTCGTGCCAGACATCGTGCAACGGCATGTTCCTCACCGATGGTTTCCACACTGGTGGCAGGCGAATGGTGTTGGGAATTAGCCCGCTGAAGCCAAAACACAGGATGACAACGTGTTGGAAGACAGGGCTGGCCACGTGCTGGCCACAACAGCTGATTTGTTTGTTTTCTCATGTGCCATATATGTGCACTATAGGAAGCCCGCTCAAAAAATATATATGCGCACTCTTGAAGGAACTTCAATCCCTGGGGCAATCGGATGAGAGGTTGGATACGATGCAGCTGCTTTTACCTCATGACTCATGAAAGGATCCCAGACATGTTTTTCTCTTATGTGACCAGCAGGAGCTTTTCAACTTCCTGCAGCTGGGCGTCTTAGTTCCCACGGAGGACTTCGAGGGTACCTGTCAGGCTCTTGGGCGGTGGACTCAGATGCGAGTGAGTGGTTTTCAATGATTACTCTCGATGTCTCCATGTCTCTAATAGCCATGGCCTCCACCTAGGAGCGATGGCCTCCAACCTAATAGTGAGGAGTTCCATGTTCTTTTAAGAAGTTTCCTTCCCTCAACCCTCGCTGTATGAAACGATTCCTGGACTTTGAGGGTAAAGGGGTGCCCATCCAGGGTATGCAGATGCATTTGGTCTACACTGATGGCGACCCAACTTGTACTTAAGCCAAGAAAACCAAGTCTCTCTCAGAACAATTGGCGTTTTCATTTTCCCTGGAGGCATACTTTGGCACTTGGACCTTTGAAGAGGCCTATCGGCGAACCGGGCGGCCAGTGACCATTGTGATCTCCTCAAACTTCTCCAGAAAGCTGCCAGCTTGTGCTTCTCAGCTGTGAGATGCGTACGCTCGGCGAGCGTAGAATGGCTTGCATAGACACGAGTCAGTACACGAGTCACCAGAGGCTCCGAATGGTGGCTAGCCGCAGCCAGCCAACAAGAATAAACTCATTACAAACCGGTCAAAGTGATCGATCTCCCCATTATAGATCTTCTCAGTCACACAGCCGCAGTCAATTTGCGCGCGGACAGTGTGGAGACAGTTGGAACATCAACCACCCGGACTCCTGAATGTACTTTGCATCGCTACTAGGAGCGATCGGACGCTACTAGGGGCTCTCTGGCCATACTACTAGTAACAAGAACGCTACGAACGTAGCAATGTAACTCCTTTTGTCCCAATCGTCTAGATCTTGCATTGTCTCACACTCTCATCTCCCGCCATTCGTTCCATCGTCAGCATCAGGTGATGCTGAACCACATGACCGTGCCACGGGTCACCGTCGCCTCCGCTGTGGCCGCCTCTTGTGCAGCCATTGGCGTAATGCGGCCCAGGGGCTTGGTGGCTGCTCGGCGGAAAACCTTCGAAACAGGTTCAGGCCATGGGCTTTGTGGTCCGGCCCGGACCAGAACGAGATGATTTGAGGAAAGATGAGTTCTAGATACGGGTTGTATCAATATGTTACTGTGGTTGGGTGTGGGTGAGCAGTCTGAAATTTTTGCCGATGCTTTTATGCATGATCTATTTCAATGCTTTGCCTTTTTGATCGCTTCTTGATTCCTCTTGTGCTTTGATTTGGGCATAGGTGAAGGATCCTCTCACTGGCACCTTAGCTCCCTTCAACGTTTTGGGCGAGTCCTTCGCCGCCGCTGAGCTTGTAAGTTAGTGGAGGCGGAGCAAGCTTCAGCACAAATCAGGCACACCGAAGCAACACCGAAGCAAGCTCAAGCTTGATTTTAGCTGTGGTTTGTTTCTCTACATATTATTGCCACTGGTCGCATTAGCATGCATTAGCCGTAATTTCATTGCTATGTGTGGGATTTTGTGGGGCAAGATGGAGTTGTGTGTTCATCCTCGGACCTTGCCTTGACTGGCCGACAAAGTAAACTCGGTCATTAGAGGCTTTGACGGCGGAAAGGGTGACGGGAGGATGACCGGGATCGCAGTGAGGACGGCTCCTTTACGGCAGAGGTGCCCAAGGATTATTTACGCTCCTGCTTCGGTGCAACGCGCTTCCTGGTGTCGCAGGCCATGCAGTTGCATGAAGTGAATATTGCACATGCAATGAGTTGTGTCAGGAGGTCGCAGATGCAAAATTGCATGTCAAATCTCCGATGAGGTCAAGAGACCATCTGTCAAACAAGCTGCGCTCAGGTAGTGTTGGTACTGTTGCTACTTGGGATCTAGATGCGTTTGCCTTGTGTTTTGTTAAGTGTTCTTGTGCAAAAAGGGCAGAGAATCCTGAGAATCCCTTGAGGTGAATCCACACGTGTCTTCCTTCATGGATGCCAAGGGAGGTGTGTTGCATAGCCTTCGAGGGCATTTTGGCTTTGATCTTCAGTGGCCTGGTCTTATTAGACACGAAGCCTCAACAAGGACGACCTTCTTTCAGTTTAGTGTTCCAGTATCATCAGCATTTGTCAAAATGATCAGCTGCATATATATATAATTATATATATATATATATGATGATGATATATGATTATATATGAGGTGAAGGCAGTGGAGGGTGTGCCTCATACTTTCTATAGTTCGCCTGTTAGTTCACCATATCCTCTCACGGGATTCATCAAAAAGGTGACAGATTTGTACGTGAAGCGAAGCCAAAAGCCCAAAGGGGATTGATCAGGCGATCGGTACGCGTTTGCTTTAAAGTCTGTGGCCCTGCCTCCAAACTTAAACTAAGTAGGTACCTACTTTATTCAGTAAGGGAGAAACTAGTTAACTAGGTTGCTACTAGCAATAGGAAGCTCCTAGCAAGGACGCAGGATAGCTCGCGTTTCTTTAAGAATACTTATTGTTCAAGTACATGTTTTCTCCATCCACTCCTGAACCAGTGCAGCCACCTTCAGGCAGCGCGCGCGAATGCTCTCCGAGTACAATCTTCTGCCGTCCTTCTTTGGCCGGGCAATGTGCCAGGCACCTGAGACCAAGCAGGTTAGTCTCTTGACCCATCCATGACCTAACACAGCATATCGCCTGCGTAAAGAAGGAATGTATTTTGATGCTCACCACTGATATACACCGCTGACATTTGCATTGAATGGGTTCAAAATGGTTCCGGAAAAAACAGGATGCAAAAAATATTGGGTTTTCGGTCATGTAAGTGCCTTGCTTCTCGAGAACATGCCAACTCAGCCGAAAGGACAATCACGAGAGGGTCGAGTGATAGACTTAGACATTGTTATACAAGCTTCCCTAACACTCTAAGGAACAAGAAGCTACTAGTAACTATAATAGGAAGTTTCCTTGGGAATCATTTCACCAGGAATCGTTTCACCTGTAGTAACAAGAAGCCTTTTAGTATGTCTTTGAAGCTACTAGGAGCAAGGACGCTACTAGTAGGTCTTTGAAGCTTTCTAGTAACAAGAAACTAGGAACCTTAAGTTTCCCTAAAACTCGACAGGAACCAAATCATTAAGGCTTTGGCTTCTTCAAGGAAGCTATCCGATAGTTCCTCCAGTTTTGTCCTCCACAAATCGTGGGGGGGGGGAATGAACCACCCCCCTCCCCCCCCC